ATTTTTCGAATACTTGATTCATCAAATTTTTAATTCTTCGATTTTACGATCGTTTGATATTCGAACTTTCAATTTTTTATTTTTCGATTTTCGAATTTTTGATTTTTTATTTTTCGATTTTCGAATTTTTGATTTTTCAATTTTTCCTTTCTTCAATTCTTGACTGCAGTTTTTTACTTCTAGGTTTTTCGATATTCGAATTTGTGTCTTATTTTTCGATTTTTCAGATTTTCCATTCTACAGTCTTTAGATTTTCCAATTTTATTTTATTTTCGATTATACAATTTTTTGATATTCCAATTTTCAGTTTTTTACTTTTCAATTTTTGATTATTCAATTCTTAATTTTTAGACTTCAATATTTTTACTTTCCGATTTTTCAGTTGTTCGATTTTTCAATTTTTTACTTGTTGTCGAGATCTAGATTTCAGATTTTTTTGTGAATTTTTAGACAAATTTTTTCTCTGTTGAAAATTTTGACTTTTTTAACCACTTTTGAAAATTACCGAAAGACATTTTTTATAGATTTCGACCTAGAATTTATTTTCGGCCTCATTTGTTCGAAAATTTGTACCATTTTTCCAGAATCGTTCAATGAAATAGGTACTTTTTAGGATTAAAAAAAATGTTTCCAAACTGAATTTTTCGAAAATCTTAATCTGGGACTATATTCCAGAAATATATATTGAGATCTATATTCTAGAATTTTTCATGACTTTTCAGACAACTTTTTCAAAAGCTACATTTTTCAATACTCACCCCTGATGAAAATTTTAAAATATTCCTGCGCTTGTGATTTATGAATCCGCGTTGAGTTTTTACCATAGACATCCAGATTAAAAAAAAATCAAATTTTATTTCAACATTTTACAATTTAACTTTGAAATTATTACAAAACTGAATAATCTGGAATCTATGTTTCGATATTTCGAATTTTCGATTTTTCCATTTTGCAATATTACAAATTTTTGAATTTTCGATTTCTCAATTTTTGGATTTTCTATTATTCGATTTTTCAATGTTTCCAGTTTTCGAATTTTTGATTTTTGATTTTCCGGTTTTCCGATTTTTCGAATATTTGATTCATCAAATTTTAGACTTTTCTATTTGTCGAACTTCCATTTTTCGATGTTCAAATTTTCAATTTTTTTACTTTCCAATTTTTCGATTTTTCGACTTTGCGATTTTCGCATTTTCAATTCTTCGATTTTACGATCTCTCGACATTCGAGTTTTCATTTTTTTACTTTTCGATATTCGAATTTTGGATTTTTCCATTTTTCCTTTCTTCATTTCTTGACTGCAGTTTGTGACTTCTAGGTTTTTCGATATTCGAATTTGCCGTGTTTTATTTTTCGATTTTTCAGTTTTTCCATTCTACAGTCTTTAGATTTTCTAATTTTATTTTATTTTCGATTATACAATCTTTTGATATTCGAATTTTCAGTTTTTTACTTTTCAATTTTTGATTATTCAATTCTTAATTTTTAGACTTCAATTTTTTTACTTTCCGATTTTTCAGTTTTTCGATTTTTCAATTTTTTACTTTTCGTCTAGATCTGGATTTCAGAATTTTTTGTGAATTTTGAGACAAATTTTTCAAAAACTCCATTATTCATTACCCCTCTGTTGAAAATTTTGACTTTTAAAAATTATCGAAAAACATTTTTTTGTAGATTTCGATCTCTAATTTTTCGAAAACCAGAAATATATTGAGCTCTATGTTCTAGAATTTTTTATGGCTTTTCAGACAACTTTTTCAAAAGCTACATTTTTCACTACTCTCCCCTGAAAATTTAAAAATATTCCTGCACTTGTGATTTATGAATCCACGTTGAGTTTTTACCATAGACATCCAGATTAAAAAAAAAAATCAAATTTTATTGTTTCCACTTTTCTAATTTTTGATTTTTCGAATTTTTAATTTCCGTATTTTCAATTTTCGATATTCCCATTTTTGATTTCTCGATTTTTCGGTTTTCCGATGTTTCGAATATTTGATTAATCAAATTTTAGACTTTCCCATTTTTCGAATTTTCATTTTTCGATGTTCAAATTTTCAACTTTTTTACTTTACAATTTTTCGACTTTGCGATTTTCGAATTTTCAATTCTTCGATTTTACGATCTTTGGACATTCTTCGATTTTTCAGTTTTTCGATTTTTCAATTTTTTACTTTTTCTCGAGATCTAGATTTCAGAATTTTTTGTCAATTTTTAGACAAATTTCTCAAAAACTCCATTTTTCATTACTTCCATCAGTTGAAAATATTGAGTTTTTTAACTATTTTTGAAAATTACTGAAAGACATTTTTGTAGATTTCGATCTCTAGAATTTATTTTCGGCCTCATTTGTTCGAAAACTTATACCATTTTTCCAAAATCGTTCAATGAAACAGACCCTTTTTAGGATTAAAAAAAATGTTTCTAAACTGATTTTTGTGAAATCTTGATCTGGGACTATATGTATTCCAGAAATATATTGAGATCGTATGTTCTAGAATTTTTTATGGCTTTTCAGCCAACTTTTTCAAAAGCTACATTTTTCACTACTCTCCCCTGATGAAAATTTTGAAATTTTTAAAATATTCCTGCACTTGTGATTTATGAATCCGCGTTGAGTTTTTACCATAGACATCCAGATTTAAAAAAAATCAAATTTCATTTCAACATTTTACAATTTAACTTTGAAATTGCAAAACTGAATGATCTGAAATCTATTTTTCGATATTTTGAATTTTCGATTTTTCCATGTTTCCAGTTTTCGAATTTTTGATTTTTGGAATTTTTAATTTACGTATTTTCAATTTTCGATATTCCGATTTTTGATTTCTCGATTTTCGATTTTCCGATTTTTCGAATATTTGATTCATCAAATTTTAGACTTTTCTATTTTTCGAATTTCCATTTTTCGATGTTCAAATTTTCAACTTTTTTACTTTTCAATTTTTCGATTTTTCGACTTTCCGATTTTCGATGCCCAGATTTTTGGAAAAAAAAAATCAAATTGTTTTTCAACATTTTACAATTTAATTTTGAAAATACAAAACTGAATATAATCTGGAATCTATTTTTGGATATTTCGAATTTTCGATTTTTTTACTTTTCGATTTTCGAATTTTTGATTTTTCAATTTTTCCTTTCTTCATTTCTTGACTTCAGTTTGTTACTTTTAGGTTTTTCGATATTAGAATTTGCTGTTTTTTATTTTTCCATTTTTCGGTTTTTCCATTGTACAGTTTTTAGATTTTCCAATTTTATTTACTTTTCAATTTTTGATTTCCAAATTTTCATTGTTTCAGTTCTTCGATTTTTCGACTTTGCGATTTTCGAATTTTTGATTTCAGTTTTTCCTTTCTTCATTTTTTGGCTTCAGTTTGTTACTTTTAGGTTTTTCAGTTTTTCGATTTGTCAATTTTTCTACTTTTTGTCGAGATTTCAGAATTTTTTGTGAATTTTTAGACAACCTTTTTAAAAACTCCGTTTCTCAATATTGACGAAAATTTTGACTTTTTTAACCACTTTTGAAAATTACCTACAAAATTTTTGTTGTAGATTTCTATCTCTAGAATTTATTTTCGGCCACGTTTGTTTGCACATTCATACCAATTTTCCAGAATCAATGAAATAGGCAATTTTTAGGATTAAAAAAAATTATATTTCCAAACTGAATATATCTAAAATCTTAATCTGAGACCATATTCCAGAAATATAATTATCGGGATCTATATTACAATTTTTTTTATGTCTTTTTAGACAACTTTTTTTCAAAAGCTCCATTTTCACTACTCTCCCCTAATGAAAATTTTGAAAAATGTTTCACCCACAATCGCGAAAGTTACTTAGAGATCTTTTTAAACATTTCGAACTCTAGAATAAATTTTCAGCTCTATTTTTCGAAAACTCTTATCATTATTATTCCAGAATTGCTCAATAGGCAATTTTTAGGATTAAAAAAAAATTCCAAACTGAATATGTATTTCTAAAATATTGATCTGGGACCATATTTTAGAAATATATCAAGATCTATATATTCCAGAATTTTTTATGACTTGTTGGACAACTTTTTCAAAAGCTCATTTTTCACTACTCTCCTCTGATAAAATTTTGAAATTTTTTCAACCATCTTCGAAAATTTTCTAAAGAGATTTTTTTGTAGATTTCTACCTCTATAATTTATTTTCGGCTTCATTTCTTTGAAAACTAAATTGTACCACTGTTCCAGAATCGCTCAATAAAATATGGAAATTTTTAGGATTTTTAAAATACATTCAAACTGAATATTTCTAAAATCTTGATCTGAGACCATAACACTTTCAGATCTATATTTTAGATTTTTTTGTAAATATTTAGAGAACTTTTTCGAAAACGTCATTTTTCAGTACTCTTTCTAAATGAAAATTTAGAGCTCGAGAATTTATTTTCAGTTTGCATTTTTCGAAAAGGCTTACCATTATAATTTCAGAATTGCTCAATAGACAATTATTAGGAAAAAAAAATCCAAACTGAATATTTGCAAAATCTTGATCTGGGACCATATTCCAGAAATATCTCAAGATCTATATTTCACAATTTTTTGAAACTTGTTAGGCAACGTTTTCAAAAGTTCATTTTTTACTACTCTCCCCTGACGAAAATTTTGAAATTTTTTCAAGCACCTTCGAAAATTACCTAAAGAGCTTTTTTTGTAGATTTGTATCTGTCGAATTTATTTTCAGCCTCATTTTAACGAAAATTAGTACAACTGTTCCAGAATCGCTCAATGAATGAAATATGGAAATTTTTAGGATTAAAAAACCAAAACTTTTAAAATCTTGATCTGAATTAATCAAATACATTTGCTTATCCACCTCAAAAAATTGATGACGTCACCTTAAATTTAAAAATATAAAAGCGGATTCGACTTCCCTTACGTATATGAAGTAATCAGACTTTTATTCATGCACATCCCCCTTCCACCCCTTTGCAGCACCCTTTAAAACTTGTTCGTTATTATTTTCAAGGGCAAAAGTTTTCCGTTTGAATTTGATGTCCGAATACCATTTTTAGTCCGCGGTCCAGGTGTCGAACCTGGCACCGTAGTCGATGATATAGTACTTAACATAGATCTCGCGCCGACATTCTTGGACATCGCCGGAGTGGAAGCGCCGCCCCACATGGACGGCCGCTCCGTCCTGCCCCTCTTCCACAACTCCAAAAGGAAAAGGATGCGTTGGCCCGACACCTTCCTCATAGAAAGGTACTGTCCCTACACTTGTTAAGTTCTTCCGCTACAACGTCTCGTTGCAGCTCCGGCCGTCGCGAGACGCCGTACCTCGACGCCAAATTCAAAACCAAGCTCGCCACCCGCCGCAACGCCACCACCCCCCAGCCCCCGTCGACCTTCGCCCCCGCCGACTACTCCATGGCCACCTCCACCAAGCCGCCGGCCGAGCTCGCCACCGCCGCGCCCCGCAGAGTATACGAATCAGGTGAGGACCTCACGTTAGATTCGTTCGGTGACGACGAAGACGACGATATCGACGAGGATGACGATATCGACGACGACGAGGACGACATCGACGGGGGATACGACGACGGCGTCGACGACGACATTTACGCTTATAGTAACGAGGCGAATGTTACTAGTAAGAACCTAATCAGGGGTGAGGGTACTAACCGGCCGTCGGGACCGGCGACATTGACTTGACCGAGGTCGTTTTGCAGATAGTTTTCCGTCCAACAAGCTGGAGAGGCTGACGACGGAGTGCGCCGCCGACGAGATGAAGCCCCCGTGCCGGGCCAGCCAGAGGTGGTACTGCGTCAACGAGAACGGCAGGTGGAGGAAGCACAAGTGCAAGTCGGTGGTGGTGCACTTCAGGAAGTGCGCGTGCTTCACGGAGGCGGGGTTGGTGTATAAGAGGATACCGGTGAGTAATAATAACTTAGGGAAAACAGTCACCGGTGTGAAGACAGCAACGATTTACCAGCAACGATTTTAGTACGAACCATAATTTCATGCAGGCGGCACACCCATGGAAATACATATGGGGCACCCCTGTAATTCGCTTATCAGTGTTTGTGCCACGATGAAATTCAGTGTGGGAGTTCTTTAGAATTTATAACGAATTATCAGCCCCGTAGCTACGGGGGGGCAAGAGGGGGCTGAGCCCCCCCTAGCAGTTGTGGTTGCCCCCCCTGGAAGACTTATACATTATAAATTTCAAATTAGTAATAAAATTTCAATATAATGCCGATTGCCGAAGCATATTAACTGGCCCCACCCGCCTCACCTTGTATTTTCGTACAGGGTATATTATTTGGCAATATCACCTTACCGTTGATGTTGACCGTATAAAAAAATGAACATGTCACATTTTATTCCATAGCCTACTATGTAGGTACTTGAGAAAAGTCAAAAATGTATGGATTTTCTAAAAATTGAGCTTTTATTGAAATGGACAAAAAATAGACAAAAAATTCTGAGATGTAGATCTCGATGAGCTTAATCAAAAAACATAAGGTCTTGATGGTCCCAGACCAAGATTTTTCAAAAATTCGGTTCCAAAATCGACATTTCAAAATTTCTGAAAAATTACATTTCTTTTGGCGGCTCTGGAAAAATTGTACGAATTTTCGAAAAAATAAACCAAAAAAAAAACATTTGGAGATCGAAATCAATAAAAAGATCCCTTCTGCTAGTTTTCGAAAATGCGTGGGAAAAGTCAAATTTTTTTTATAGATTTTCAAAAATTGAGCTTTCGTTGAAATTGGCTGAAAATCTACAAAAAATTCTGAGATGTAGATCTCGACGAGTTTAGTCAAAAAACATAAGGTCTTGCTGCTATTCGGTTTCCAAGTCGAATTTTTAAAATTTCTCAAAAATTATACTCCTATTTCTTTTGACGGTTCTAGAAAAATTTTACAAATTTTCGATCAAATAAAACCAAAAACAACATCTGAAGATTGAAATAAATAAAAGAATGACTTTCGGTAATTTTTGGAAATGCTAAGAAAAGTCAAAATTTATTTAATCCCTTTTGCTAAATTTCGAAGATGCTTGGGAAAAGTCAAAAAATGTATATGGATTTTCAAAAATTGAGCTTTTGTTGAAATTAACAAAAAATCAACAAAAAATTCCGAGATGTAGATCTCGATGAGCTTAATCCAAAAACATAAGGTCTTGATGGTCCTAGACCAAGATTTTCGAAAAATTCGGTTTCATAGTCGACATTTCAAAATTTCTCAAAAATTACATTTCTTTTGGCGGCTTTGGAAAAATTGTACAAATTTTCGAGAAAATAAAACCAAAAACAACATTTGGAGATCGACATCGATAAAGAGATCCCTTTTGCTAATTTTCGAAAACGGTTGGGAAAAGTCATAAACATTTTATAGATTTTCAAAAATTTAGCTTTTGTTGAAGTTGACTAAAAATCCACAAAAAAATCTGAAATGTTGATCTCGACGAGCTCAATCAAAAAACACAAGGTCTAGATGATCCCAGATCAAGATTTTCGAAACATTCGGTTTCAAAGTTCAAAAATTACATTTCGTTTGGCGATTGCTGAAAAATTTTACGACTTTTCAACCAAATAAAACCAAAAACAACATCTGGAGATCGAAATCAATAAAGGAATTCCTTTTGGTAATCTCGAACGTGCTTGAAAAAAGTCAAAAATTTGATACAGGTTTTCAAAAATTGCCGTATTTCTTCCGTCGATTCTGGAAAAATTGTAAGAATTTTCAAAAAAATTGAATCCAAAACGATTTTTGGAAATCGAGATGAACAAAGGAGTCTCTTTTGATAATTTTTAAAAATGCTTGGGAAAAGTCAAAAATTTTATATGGGTTTTCAAAAATTGAACTTTCGTAAAAGTTGACAAAAAATTCTGAAATATAGATTTGGACGAGCTTAAAAAACATGACAGGTTCATGGTTCCGGATAAAAATTTTCGAAATACTCGGTTTCGAGCTCGAATTTTCAAAATCTCTCAAAAATTACCATATTTCTTTTGACGATTGTGGAAAAATTGTACGAATTTTCGAAAAAATAACCAAAAACAACATCTGGAGATCGAAATCAATAAAGAAATCCCTTTTGGTAATCTCGAACGTGCTTAAAAAAAAGTCAAAAATTTGATGCAGGTTCTCAAAAATTGCCATATTTCTCCCGTCGATTCTGGAAAAAAAGTTAGAATTTTCAAAAAAATTGAGTCCAAAACGATTTCTGGAAATCGAGATGAACAAAGGAATCTCTTTTGGTAATTTTCGAAAATGCTTGGGAAAAGCCAAAAATTTTATATGGGTTTTCAAAAATTGAACTTTCGTAAAAGTTGACAAAAAATTCTGAAATATTGATTTCGACGAGCTTAAAAAAACATGACAGGTTCAAGGTTCCGGATCAAAATTTTCGAAATACTCGGTTTCGAGCTGGAATTTTCAAAATTTCTCAAAAATTACCATATTTCTTTTGGCGATTATGGAAAAATTGTACGAATTTTCGAAAAAACAACCAAAAACAACATCTGGAGATCGAAATCAATAAAGGAATCCCTTTTGGTAATTTCGAATGTGCTTGAAAAAAGTCAAAAATTTGATACAGGTTCTCAAAAATTGCCATTTTTCTTCCGTCGATTCTGCAAAAAATGTAAGAATTTTCAAAAAAATTGAATCCAAAACGATTTTTGGAAGAAATCGAGATGAACAAAGGAATTCTTTTGGTAATTTTCGAAAATGCTTGGGAAAAGTCAAAAATTTTATATGGGTTTCCAAAAATTGAGCTTTTGTTAAAGTTGACAAAAAATTCTGAAATACACATCTCGACGAGTTTAAAAAAACATGACGAGTTCATGGTTCCGTACCAAAATTTTCGAAATATTTGGTTTCGAAGTCGGATTTTTAAAATATGTACTAAACATGCAAAAAAATGAACTCAAACAAATTGGATGTTACCTATATGATCACTACACAAATTTTTGGATGCAGTACAGCTGTTTGTGAATCTACATTCTCTGTTTTAACCAGCATTTTAACCAAGTACCGTACTAATTTTTTGGACTTCGACAGGTTTTTACGAAAATTTAGCGTAAAAAATCGACGTTTCCAATTATTTTAATGTTCTTTCAAATATAAAAACTCAGAAAAAATAAAGTAGTTATCTGAGTGTATTATTAAAATATAAATATTTACATGAAGCCTCCTCTGTCGACAAACTTGCCCCCCCTGAATAAGTTTTCTAGCTACGGGGCTGCGAATTATGGTTTGAAAAAAAATTCAAATTTTTGGGGATGAGGGTGTGCACGGACATATCATATACGGCACACCTGTAATTCGCTTATCAGTGTTTGTGCCACGATGAAATTCAGTGTGCGAGATCTTTAGAATTTATAACGAATTATGGTTTGAAAAAAAATTCAAATTTTAGGGGATGAGGGTGTGCACGGACATATCATATAGGGCACACCTGTAATTCGCTTATCAGTGTTTGTGCCACGATGAAATTCAGTGTGGGAGTTCTTTAGAATTTATAACGAATTATAGTTTGAAAAAAAATTCAAATTTTAGGGGATGAGAGTGTGCCCGAGCATACCGTATGGGACGCGTATTTATCGATGTTTGCGCCACGATGTTTAATTACTTTTTGTGTCAAAAACGGCTATGATGGAATTTATTGGTTTCTTTATCCAAATTTTTTGTTAATAAGTTTTATAGTTTTGTAAGTTTTGTTGATATAGAGGAGTATTTAAATTATAATTCGATGCAAAATATTATACATAAAAGAACAATACATAAGAAAATACACTGTAACGAATCGTCCCAACAACTGGTCCTCTGAATAAGAACGGATATGGGCAGTTAATTTAATCCATTCCAGGCAAAATTACTTGTCCAAACCGGACATCCCAAGAGATGACCAGTGTCATAAAATTTAAATATTGCGCTAATACAGATGTTCTCGGTAAGCACTAATCCCTTCAAAGACGTACCGCCCTTAAAGATGGATTTTTCCAAATTAGGAATTTCCGGGGTGGTACTATTTCACTGCAAAATTTTTTTAAAACTTTAGTTCCTCAGTGCCCTCTTGGGTCTGAAGTATAGTCGATCGGCAAATCCGTTACGCGAGTTTTATTTAGTACTCCGACTACAAAGTCCTTTCTCTATCCTAGTATCAAGTTGAAAGAAAGCGAAGGTTTTTCCCAAAAAGGTAAGAGCAATCTGTTATTTTTTTTACTCAGCTATTATTGAAGCCCTCAACCGGTCTTGTTAGATCGGAAGTCGAATTTTTTTTGAGTTTTCAAATTTTTTAAATTACGTTATATTATTTTTTTTTAATTTACAGATAGTAATTTCATATCATAACATGAAAAACTGTCGAGGATTTTTAAGACAAAATTTTTTAAAACTGTTGAAAGATGGTGTTGTTCAAAAAGAACAACTTATGGGTGTTTCGTATCGAAGAAACAATACCATTTATTCCCAAATATGCCTAACGCTAAAAATCAGACATTTTAGCAAATAGAAAGAAGTTATATACAATTTATTGTCGAAGCTTTGTTAACTGCTCCAATAGTCAGGAACAAGTGGATGACGACAGCGAAACAGGCCAAACTTCTCAAAAAAGTGAGTAGAAGAAAATTTTTAAACTGTTTGTAGTAATCCACTAATTTTTTTAGAAGATATAAGTTCAGATATGGAGCAGTATAATATATCAACGCCTTCAAAATGGAATATACCAGAATTGACAATTAAATTAAGTCCAATTAAGAAACAACTGGATTTTGTTTTAGTGCCCACAAAATCTAATACAGATGATAGTTCCATCTGTCACACACACTTCGAATTTGATAACGAATTGTCATTAGATTCCACATTTGAGGTTAGTAAACAAAACATTTCGATTGATGAAATTATACATCACATAGTAACG